ACTCCACGCATCAACTCTGTAGGTCATTCGGCAAGTTAATTATGTAAATCAATTCGGTGAATCAACTCTGCAAACCACACCGGTAAAGAACATATGTAAACCAATTGGGCAAATCAACTCGGCAAATTAACTCGGGAAATCAAATCGTGAAATCAATTCTGGAAGCCAGCTCGGCAAATCATCTCTGTAAGTCAATTCGGGAAATCCACTCGTCTAATCAACCCGGTAGATCAACTCGGGGCTTGATGCGGGGTTTGAGTGCGGGGGGCGGGTGTGTGCGTAGACTGTGGGCGTAGAGTGGCGTGTGTGTGTGTGTGTGCGTGCGTGTGGGTGCGTGGGGGTGCGGGCGTGGGCGTAGAGCGTGGGGCGGGAGTGCGGGGTTTGAGCATGGGCGCGAAGTGTGGGCGCGATTGCGAGAGGCGAGTATGGAGTGCGAGTGTCGGCGTGGAGTGTGGGCGCGAGTGTGTTCGGCGAGCGTGGGCGTCGAGCGCGGCGCGTCGCGCGTCTGGCCTCGAGCTAGAGCTGGCCCCCCAAACAAACGCGAGCCATGCAGTCAGGGTTTTGGACTGTTGTTTGGCCAAGTCTGCCACCGACAACGCGCCGTAAGAGTTGTCTGGCGCGCTTCAGGGATAGGCCATGGCAGAGACGGAGTGCACTCAGGACACGACCATTCACGATAGCTTAGTATCTTGAGCTAGGCGGACATCTTTGGAGATGCGACGACGTGTATTTCAGCGGGTGGAAAAACAGGGAACTGAAGGCCCTGGTAGATCGGCGCCACCAGATGGGCCCCGAAGCCAACGCGCACGCGCGCCAGTGTGCCGGGGACATCTTGCCGGGCGGTTCCGGCATCAACATGGCGAACAACAGTGGGGGCTGGACGTCGGAGAGAGACAGAGCGTCCTGATCGCACTCTGCTCTCGCCAATTCTGCGAGGCGCGGCGACCTCTCGCGCGCGCGGTGGCCCGCCTCATCGGCGCGAGAGACGATCCGATCCCCGCGGGGGTCCGCTCGGCCGGCCCGCATTGGCGGCGACGTCGTCGCATGCGCAAGTCTGGGCTCACGAAGGCAGGAACCGCAACTATTGGCTTCGTCTCTCCGACGCGAAGGCGCTTGCTGACCTGGGGTGGGGGAGCTGTGCGAGCGCGCGCCGCGGCGCTCTCATGGCGCGCGCGCCACCGATCGCCGGCCAGAATGCGCCGCCGCACTAACGTGGGCGCTGAGGCCCCCTGGATTGCGCTCGCGCAGGAGCATGACTTGTCGCCCTTCGAGGGAGCGCTGCAACGGGACGTCAGAACCCCTGCGGGCCACGCGTCAAGATGGGGCAGGGCGCGGGCCAACAATGAGCGCGGGGAGGCAATCCAGCGGACAAGGGGGCTGGAGGCGGTGCGCGCAGATGGCAATCGGCAGCGGGACCGCCCTCCGGTCGAGGCCCGGGCGCGCAGAGCCGCCCACGCCGCTGCTTTCGGCGGGGAGATTCAGCGCAATACTTGCGCAGTGTGGGGCGCGCCCGATTAGAGATCTACGTGGGGCCGGTGGACAGACATCCACCGCCGTTTGGATAGATTCGCGCCGGCGGTCAAGGACCTCGGGTTACTCTGCGCCGCGCGGCTATGTGCGTTCACCCGTTCCAGCCATCTGCGCGCGGAGTCCTGGAAGCGCGACGCCCATTCCACGCTTCGGGCGGCCTTCCTCTGGCGACAGGGGAGCGGCGAAAGGGGGCGGGCCCCGCGTCGCATAAGCTGGTTCAATGCTGAGCGCGACCGTCGCCGGTAGCCTTGCAGAGTCAAGCGCGGCAGGGCGCAGAGCGTGCATTCTTCGCGATGGCCCTCCCTGTCTTCGGGGCCTTGGACGCAGCCGATCACCATCGATGGCTCGCGCGACTGCGCGTGCCTTGCGGCTCTGAGACCCTGGATGGCTGCGCGCGCGTAGTCCGAGAAGACTGCCAAGCGCGCGCCACCCATCTTTCCATGGAGATACGCATCTGGTACTCGGCGGATCTCATCCCATCCGAACAGTGGCTGCCAAGGCAGAGCGCGCCTGACTATGGGGCTTGCTTTGGTACACGGGCGCGGTTTGCTCGCGTTTTTTGGGCGCCCGCTTCATCTTCGCACCTATTCCCCCGGCGGCGTTTCGCAGCGCGTAATCGCCAAGAAGGCGTCGCGCGCCAGGTGGGGCCAGCTCCGCCGGCGCTGCCGCTCGGAGGACTTTGGGGCCATGTGCGGACCGTGACCTGGCAGCGACGGCAGGGCGCAAGGGGCGCCGAGCCATCGGATGGAAGCCTAGAAAAGTATAGGCCCCAGCCAGCGCGCGCCCTTGTGCGCTACATGTGACGCGAGGGTGGGGCGATGCTGCCGTTGCCCACTTCGCTTTCGCCCATGCCCCCCCCACCGATATTTCGGTCGCTCAACACTTCCCAGGAGTCAAACAAACAGGACGTTCGAGGGCGACGTCGCGCCGCAAAGGGAGGCGCGCGCCATTGACTTTAAAGCTTTGCCCCCACCCATTCTCTGCAATGAAAATGATCCGGGAGTTGCCCGTGCCCGCGATGCGCGGAGCTGCTGTTGGGAGTGGTTCGTCGCTTCGCCCAGGTGTTTGCGTCTCCCCCCCCTTTTTCCCTGCGCGCCTCTGCGTGTCCTTGCTGGAGTTCGTTTTTTTTTTTGCGTGGCTGTGGCATTGCTGCTCGCCGCTCTTTGTTCCTCCCCCCATTGTGCGCGGCGGCCGCCTGCGTCGCTGGCTTTCTCTTTGCGGCCCCCAGTTGCCTCGCGGCTTGCCCTGCGGAGCTCTGGGCGGGACGCGCCGCTTTTGTTTCTCGTCGCCACGGGCGCAAGGACCTCCAGATAACGGCCGGCCGGCGCCTGGGGGTCGTCTTCCCCGTGCTCGGCCGCGCCTTGCCCTGACCGCAGCACGCGCGTTTCTGTCCTAGCTCCGAGCTCTGGATCCTTGCGCGCCGCTCACGTGTAGTAGCGCCTTCTTCCGTCGGCCCACTGGACCTGGCGGCCGCCTTGCCGCCGGCGCCCCGGCACGGGGCATGGGCGGTTTGGCCGCGCCCCGCTTCTCTATTCGACGTGCTGCCCAGGCCTCTGCCAAAGTCGCTCTCGCATTACTTTTCCGCGCCATCCTTTGCTCTGTTGCTGTTGGACAGTTTCTGCGCTGGCGCGCCGCCATGTGCGGCGGGCTTTTCGACGCCGGGCTCGTTGTCTCTCCGGGGTGTCTCGGGGGCGCGGCCTGGCGGCGCCGTGCGCTTCTCGCGCTGGCCGGGGCGCCGGCGTTTTTGCGCTTCCAGGGGCGCGAGTGGCAATTCCCACGGGCGCCGCTCGCAGTCGGCACCTATGTCCCTTGGCAGTTTGCCCAGCGGTTGCCTCGCCGCCTTGCTGCTCGCGCCTGGGATTGGGCGCTGGCCGGCACGGCCGCGGCCCGTTGAAGTTTGCTGCGTCTGCGTTGCGCTCGGGGCGCGAGTCGCGCCTGGGACTGCGGGTCGCATCTTGCTGATTTCAGCTGCATGTCAGCATGATCGCCGGCTGTTTTCGTAGACGTAGCCTGGTGGCGAGTTCGCTTTCTTGGTTTTGTATGGATTTATTGTTGCTTGTCGGAGTGGTGCGACCTTGAGGTGGCGCGCGCAGACTATTGTGCTTCGACGTTGGTTTTTGCGTCGTCGTTGCGGCTCCACCTACCCAGGGCTGCCGCAGCGTGGGCCGCGGCGGGGTTGCCCTTCAACGGTGGCGTCCGCGTTGCACTTTGGCCGCGCGCGCCCCTGTCCACCGCCCATGGATTTGCCTGCGCCGCCCACCTCCCACGCGCGCCGCCGTGGAGCGATTGCTGCACGCGGTCGCCTGCGCTCAGCCTTGCTACTCGCCCAAGCAATGTCTGCCTCGGACAGCGCGTTTCAGGCGCTTGCACTTGCGCGGGGCGTTCCCGTGTCTGTTGCAAGCCGATGGCGTCGCCCGTCGCGCTGCTGGTCGTTTTGCGTCGCCGCCAAACCGGCTGGTCTGGTTCCGCCTCGCTGGCGAATGGGTGCCAGACTGCCGCTCGCGCTGCAACTCCTGGCGTCGAGCTACGCTCCGCGGGGTGATCGGCCGTTGCGCGCTGGCGCTACAGTGCTGCATTTTTCCCACCGCCAATCTGCATGGCCGTGGCCTGATTTGTTCATCATGGCGCGTTCGGCTAAGTTCGCTCTCGCAATTGGCACCTCCACCTGCCTACCGCGCCCGAGGTCCTTCTGCGCCGCCGGTTCAAGCAGCGTGTACATATAATCACGGGCTCGGGCGCGGGCTCGGGCGCGCATTGCTCGGGCTTGCGCGTGCTACGAAAACTTCACAGACAGCACATGGCACTCACCTAGTGAACCCGCCCGGCCGCCCAAACAACATCCCCGTGCCTCCATGCGTGTCGCCGTCAGTGGGGCCCCCTTCCGTTTTGTGACCGCCCAGGGGGCCTTCTTGGGAACCTCAGCGCGGCCTTCCTGCGGCTTTGGACGACGTCGTTCCGCATGGTCCGCTTTTTCAGCCACAGGCCACGCGTGCTCTACAGGGTGGCGACTGCCGGAAACTGGCCCTCTTACCCGCCGGTCGTTGAAATTGGGTATATCAGCCAGCATTGACTCCAAATCGATTGGACGATTCAAATCAAAGAACCAGAGAGCAAACAATCATGCTGAATCTGAAATTCAGCAAGCAATCGAGCGTGCACGCAAGCAGGCTGGCATAGGCATAGGCATAGGAATTAGGCGGGGCATAGGAATTAGGGGGCCAACGGACCAACTAGTAGGGTTTGGGCTGCGATTCCTATAGGGCAAGCCTCTTTGGATATCAATTTTCGATTGGCGTTTCCTTTCTCCTTCCTCGTCAGGGGGCGGGCGGACGCCCAATTTACTTCCAGCGCCTTCCTACTTACGTGTCGACGCATCTTTTCCGACCGACTTCAGGGCCTCCTCCTCCCCCTCTCCTTCTTCCTCCTCTTTCTCTTCCCTTTTCCCGTCCACGCGCCCCTCGCGATGAGAGGTTGCTGACCCACGCTTCCGAGTTGCGGGCGCACGCGCCGCAGGCTGGCTTGATTCTTGGGCGGGGGGTCTCCTCCCTACCCCATCATTTCCTCCCTTGCTCCCCTGTCTGTTCCTCTCCCCTTTCCTCGCACTCTTTTGCTTCACGCTTCTGCCAGGGTGCTGCTGTAGCCATAAGCTCAGGGTGGCGTAGGACGTCACACACGCTCTGCCTTCTGGTCACGGTTTCCAAGTGCGTCTTGCTTGACCCTTTGCGGGAGGAGGCGTGCGCACAGGGACTAGGGATCCCGCGAACCGGTACGGTGGTGCCCCCCTTTCTCCTCTTCCTCCTCGCCGTCCGCCCTCGCCCTCCGTACACATCGCCCTCCGCATCCCTTTTTGCTCGTTTCCTCTCTCCTCCTGCCCTTTCCGAGGCGGGCCGCTCGCGCACCATGCGTGATGCTTCGGCCCTCCTCTGCCTCTCCACCGCCTCCTGTTCCTCCTCTTCCCTCCTTGTTTTTCTTCCCCCTTCCTCTTCCCTCCTCTTCCTCCCCTCAGTTCCTCTTCCGCCCTCCTCCTCCGCCTCCTCCTCCTTCCTCTCGCTCTTCCTGTCCCTGCCTCCAGAATCCCTCCTCCCTCCTCCGCACTTCTACCCCCTCTTCCTTCCTGCTCCTCGTCCTCCGCCCTCCTCCATCCTTCTCCAGTTCCTCCTCCTCCCCCTCCCTCCTCGGCCTCCTCTTCCTCTTCCTCCTCCTCCTCTTCCCCTTTCCTCTTCCTCCTCCTCCTCCTCCTCCTCCTCCTCCTCCTCCTCCTCCTCCTCCTCCTCCTCCTCCTCCTCCTCCTGTAGCAGCAGAGCCATCCACACCGAGGACGAGAGCTCGACTTCGATGTACTGAGGGGGTGAGAACTCGATAGTTATGGGCGCTCAGCTGCTGGAGGGAGAAGCTTTCCCTGAGCCTTCCCAGTCACTGGCGACGAACGACTACGGAGCATTCGGCATCGTATGCGAGAGAGAGATTGAGAGAGAGAGAGAGAGAGAAAAGGAGAGAGAGAGAGAGGAGGAGAGAGACAGAGAGAGAGAGAGAGAACGAGGTGTCCCAGGCTTAGCGAACGCGGAGGACGGAGAACGAGCGAGGGAGGAGGAGAAGGAGGGGGGGAAGGGATGGAGGAGGCAGGAGGAGCAGGCGCTCTGGTACGTCATGCGTTTCTCGTTCGTCCTCTCTCTGGAGGTGGCCTCGTGCAGGCCTCGCGTTTTGTGCAGTGGGTCTGCGACGGAGCATCAAGCGGGTCGGACGTGACCGCAACTTACCACGTTCAGAACGGGCATCAACAGTTGTGTGTGAGGGAGAGAGTGTGTGTGTGTGTGTGTGTGTGTCTGTGTGTCTGTGTGTCTGTGTGTCTGTGTGTCTGTGTGTCTGTGTGTGTCGTGTGTGTGGTGTGTGTATGTGTGTCTGTGGCTGCGTGTCGTGTGTGTATGTGTGTGTGTGTGTGTGCGTGTGTGTATGTCGTGTGTGTATGTCGTGTGTGTGTGTGTCTGTGTGCCTGTGTGTGCCGTGTGTGTGTGCCTGTGTGTTCGCGTGTTTGTGTGTGTGTGTGCTTGTGTGTGTGCGCGTGTGTGTGTGTGCGCGTGTGTGTGTGTGTGTCGTGTGTGTGTGTGTCGTGAGTGTCGTGTGTGTATGTGTCTGTGTGTGTGTGTGTCTGTGTGTCTGTGTGTTTGTTTGTGTCGTGTCTGTGTGTGTGTGTCTTGTGTATGTGTGTGCGCGCGCGTGTGATTGCAAAATGTCCTGGGCTGGACGTTCGGGCTTTGTCACCTGCACGTTGCTCACGCAGTGCACCTGCCTGCCTGCCCCACTCGGGCGCAGTCGCTCACACGGCGCAGCCGCTGTCTTATTCTGCGCCACAAATCGCTCACAGTCGACCCGCATGGTAAGGATGAGCGACTTTCCAAGGGGTACCCGTGCAGCCTTCCCGTTCGGCCCGTCCTTGTCTGGTTTCGCTGGCCGCGCCCCGCCCGCAAAGCGTTGGCATGGCGCTCCAGGGCCCTTGCATCCTTACTTACCGCGCATGCTTCTTTTGCGCGGGCTGATTGTGCCTGTCCCACGCGCCCCGTGCGCTCACCCAGCGCAGCCGCTCTCCCCTGTTCTGCACGACGACTCCTCTGGAGCAGTCCCCCATCTGCAACGCCAGGTGGTTTGGCATCGCCCGGTCGTGTGCATGTTCTGGGGGGCGGGGACCAGCCAGGAACATTATGTACCACCTTGCGAAACATACAGTCGAAAAACCCTAATAAGGACGCGCGACTTTGCTCAGGGTAGCCTTGCGTCCTTACCGCGCGTCCTTATTAGGGTCTTTGACTGTACACGCGCGACATCGACAAACGCACGGGGAATGGACGGCCGAGCGATGGCGAAGGCTCACCTCGACGGCCTGGCATGTCCGCCATCCTCCGCCGGTGGACGCGGCGCGGAGCGTGGCCCGCCTCGGCCCTCGGCGCGGTGGCGCCACTTCGGCCGCCGAAGGCCCCAGCGCGCGCGCCTGCAGCCTGCGCCTCGGGCGCCCTGCCTGGCGGGCCACGGCCGTGCAGAGAGACTCCAGCAGTGGCGAAGCGTCCTGGCGTGCCCGTAGCCATACCAAGCAATGTTCCAAGAGCCTTTTGTGGTTCCCACGATCTGTCCTTAGAACATTTCTAGCTGGGACTGTCTTGTTTTCTCACATCGGGCTTATGTTCTGAGAACATTGTTTTTGTTCTTAGAGCATTTCTGGGTTCTAAGAACAGTTCGTGGTAGGACTATAGGAATGCCAGGACGGTCGCTCCCTGCTCAAGAGACACTCTTGCCTGCGCGCCGCCGCGCGCGGCTGCCGAGCCACAGTCCCAGGTCCAACTCGGGCCATGACCAAAGTCACGACGGGAGCTTTTTCGGCACTCTCGGCCCACAGGTCTGCGCGAGCGAGATGGGCACGGAGAGAACGGTTGCAATACCCAACAGCGGATCTGGTGCATTTTGAACAGGACTCGCTGTCCACGCCGCCGCGGCCTGTGTCCATTCGAGACAGAAGGCCGCCTGCCCAACAGCGGCCGCTGTTGGTTTGGGGCAACATTTGTTGTTGGGCATTGTACCCGTTCTTTCCGTGCCCATTTCGGGCGTCCAAACATTGGGGCCCTTACCGGACCTCAGGGTCGGCAGAAAAGCCGACTCGGGATGAGAAGCCGGTCCGAGGGTGTGGGTCGAGACTCTTGGGATCGACATCACGAACACATGATGACGTCGGGGGTCTGGGGTGTGTGCGCGCGTGTCCGTCCGCGCATGTGCCTCGAAGAAGGCAAAACATTATAAACATAAACTCTTGGCGCTCCGCGCGGAGTTCTTGGATCCGCGCTGCACCCCCCCCCGCGGCGCCTCCGACGCCGCCCCTGGCGCGCTCCGCGCGCCAGGGAGGGAGGGGGAGGGGCCAGCGCGGAGCCAAGACATCCGCGCGGAGCGCCAAAAGCTTCTGCTCATTTGGCGATTCTTCTTCTCCTCGCGCTGGCCATCGGTCGGCGCCTCTCGCGGCCCACCTCCGCGGAGCCGCCTCCCCGGCCCGGCCGCGGAGGGGCCTCCCCCCTATAGGGCGGCTGCGGGCGCTGCTCCTGCCGGGGCCGCCCCTCCTCGCGGCCCCCGCGGGGCTGGGCCTGCGCCCGCGCAGTGCCCCTCTCCGCCGCGGCCCCCTCCGCCCTCCGCTCCCGCTCCTCCGGCTTGGGCCCCGCTCCCTCCGCCCTCCCGCTCCATCCGCTCCTCCGCCTTCGCTCCCGCAGTGCCTCCGCTCCCGCTCCCCCGCCTCCTCTCCCTGGGCTTGGCATCGCTCGGACGTGTGCACTTTTCCTTCGGCGAGGACCATCGAGGAGCACCCTGGAGCATTCGGCGAAAAGCCACGCACGAACCCTAAAAAAACACAGGAAATGGACGTCCGAGCGATGGCCAGTGGGGGGGCGGCCCTGGTCGGGCCGCCTTCCCCCCCCGGGGGCCCTCGCGCGTCGCCGAGGCCCGCCCTGGGCGCGCGCTTCTCCGTCGGGTCGCTCCCCGTCGGGAGAACCCCCCGCCCGGCCCGTCACTCTCAATGCGCCGCCGCTCCCGGCGGCCATGGCCGCGGGTGGCTTTCCCCCCCCCCCGCGGGGCACTAAAACGACACGAAGATCGGGACAGAATCGAATCGGGATAACTCGAAATCTCGGAGAATCGGCGGGTTTGGAGGATGTATTGGGCGCCGCGGCCGCTCCAGAGCGTTCCGGAACGCTCTGAGAGCGATTTATCCCAATCCTAGCCTTGTTTTATGGCTTCCCCCCCCCCGCCCCGCGGGGCACTCGGGGCCGCCGCTCCCCAGGAGCGCAACCAACGAAGGGCGTGCACCTATGATGCTCCAATCTCTTTTAGCCTTGAGCACCAGGAAGACTCTCGAGCACCAAGAAGAGGAGCGAAACCGCAGGGCATTCGCGTGTCGGGCCCTGGGCCCGTTCGACACTGTTTCGATACTTCTCTGGGCGTTCGAAATTGTTTCTGGGACCTGGCCCTCAAGCATGATGGGAGCAACATCAACGCACACGTACATGACTCCACGCTGGTCTCGAGAGTGCGCATTGCGCAAATGTTCCTCTCACGCGGCCGGTCTCGCGGATCGAGGGGCCGCGTTCATGCATAGCGCTGGGCGCGCACGTGCCCTGTGGACGCCCCGTGGGCGGCCGTCGGTTTTTTTCGCCCCGTCTCCACGCGCCAGCAGCCTGGTGGGTGCCGTGCCCCGCGTGAGGACCAGAGGGCCGCCAGAGGGCCGCGGGGGGCACGCCGAGACGGGCCGCCGAGACGGGCCGCCGCAGGGCCGCCGCGGGCCTCCCGTGGCATTCGGCGCGCCTCGCGCGCGCGCGGCCGCGGCCCGCCGCGAGGCGGAGGCTCCCGCCGCCCGCGGCCTGGGCCTGAGCTCGCCGCTGCCGCGCTCGGGCCTGACGGCGCTGCAGCTTTCCTGCGCCTCGGGCCTGCCGCGGGGGGCGGGGGTACTCTCCCCCTCCCCCTCCTCCCTCCTCCTCCTCCTCCTCCTCCTCCTCCTCCTCCTCCTCTCCTCCTCCTCCTCCTCCTGCTCCCTCCTCCTCCTCCTCTCCCTCTCCTCCTCTCCTCCCTCCTCCTCCTCCTCCTCCTCCTCCTATTCCTCCTTCTCATCCTCCTCCTCCCCCTCCTCCTCCTCCCCTCCTCCTCCTCCTCTCCCTCCTCCTCCTCCTCCTCCTCCTCCTCTCCTCTCCTATTCTCCTTCTCCTCCTCTCCTCCTCCTCCTCCTCCTCCTCCTCCTCCTCCCCCTCCTCCCCCTCCCCCTCCTCCTTCTCCTCCTCCTCCTCCTCCTCCTCCTCCTTCCTCCTCCTCCTCTCCTCCTTCCCCTCCTCCTCCTCCTCCTCCTCCTCCTCCTCCTCCTCCTCTTTCCGTTGCTAGGACATTATAGGGCAAACCTGTTGCGTGCTGAAATGTTGCAGAAGCAAATCGCCGGCTTAGGCGTGGTTTTGAAACGAATTTGGCCGTGGACGGGTTCAGAAGAAGAAAGGCAAGGAGACAAACACAGAATGGTGGCCGAGGATGGTGAGAGTAATCCGGTCCGCGGCACGTGGAGAGGAGGAGATACAACTACCAACACATAATAGCATGTGAAGGGAGGTACCGAACGATGGAGACTAACCACAGCTGCAGGTGGTCTGGCGACAAACGGTGCCTTACCGCCACCTCCCGCAAGTAAACGGATCAAAGTACCCCCGCCGCGTAGGGGGGCAAATCATGGTATGGCAAAGTAGCAAGCGAACGACGCACATAGAGTGGAAACAGGGGACGTATGCAGGCAATGATCGAATAGAAGCGTGTGATCCTGGCCATATAAAAAGGCTGGCCTGTGTCTCCAGTTCCCTTTACTGCCCAGCTCCCCGCTGCAACCCTCCCGCTACCTCCCGCCAGTAAGGATCTCTGTGCCCCCGCGGTAGCGGACAAATCATGGTGCGGCAATGCTAACATGCGACGCAAGAAAAGTGTGAACAGGAGGCGTATGCAGGCAAAGATAATGGAAGCGTGTGAGGCTGGCTCTATAAAAGGCTGGCCTGTGCATTTGTCGTGTAGGCCGTACCCTCTGGTAGGGTCAGTGCCTAAGGACATCGCAACAAGCTGTGGACTACGGAGATGTCGAGGCCAAGACTGACGAATGAAAGTGAGAGGAGGGTACCAGCATGGCTGCAATTCTTGGGCTGCTAACCGGGGTTTGGGTTTCACCCCAAAAATCCATGGCCGCAGGGACCCCCGTGCTTTTTTTATGGTTCGAGCTTACCACGAACCTATTTAACATCATGGCAATGTCAGGCGGCAGCTACTGACTTGCCGAACCGGAGTTGCATGCTGGGCGATGGCCAATGCAAGCAAGCGCGAGTGGAGGTAGGTGAGCATTGCAAAGAGAGGAATAAGGCCGCAGCGTGCAATGTTAACAATACTATTGAGGTTGGCTGCTGGAGTGTCGGCGCTGGTTGAACCTAGTAAGACTGCTGGGGCGATGGCCGTCCTTCCCCGAATGCCGCTGAAGTCGGTTAGTGATGGCTTGGGCGTCACTCAGTGGGGCAGGACCCCTGGGGGGGGAGAGAGGTCCACAGGGCAGATGGAGCGGGAGAGAGGAGCAGGAAAGAGGAACGACGACGAACCAACAGAACAGAGGTTAGAAGATGCGTGCGGGCCTCAGAAATCCTCGTTTTGCTGTTATTGATGTACTGGCGGGTACCGTCGTGGATGCCGTGAGGTCGTAGACTCTGCCATCCCTGTTGTAGTATTGTCCAATCTTGGTAACCAGAGCCGTCTGCGGTATTCCGCAGGTCTATCATCCCCAGTAAGGGCTGCCGTCCGCCAGTCCAGTTGGGAACATTGGTGTCACAGTGGATGTCGCCTTGTGCTGAGGTATTGGGAAAGTTTGCGCTGCAGGTGGTGCCCTGTGTTCTGGTGCTGGGAACTTCGGCTTCGGCATGGTTGGCGCTGCCATGGCTGTGGATGTGTCGTGTTGCTGTCGCAGTTCTTCTTGGCGTAAGTTGCACTGCCGAACCTCAGCCAGATCCTCCTCCTCCTCCTCCTCCTCCTCCTCCTCCTCCTCCTCCATCCCTCTTCCTGACACCATTCCTCGCTGTCGCATCCCCCCAGCCCAGGCGTGTCGGCAGGGCGGCCCGGGCGTTTCGCTTGAGGCATGTTCGCAATGTATGATGCGAGGGTGTGACATTCATAACGGCGTCACGGATGGATGGCGGCTGGTTTTCAACATAAGGAGGAAGAGAAGGAGGTGGAGGAGGCTGAGGAAGAGAAGCAGGAGGAGGAGAAGGAGCAGGAGGAGGAAAAGGAGGGGGAGAAGGAGAAAAATTGCACCACAATCGCGGATAGAGGGCGGGTGGTTCTCACGCTGCGGCTCTCGCTTTAGTGCGCCGTGCACATTCGTCTCAACAGTTTGCAGCAGCATCGAGGACGGAGGGTGGTTCTTTTTCGAAATGTTGCTCTCGCCTCAGCGCCACGCGCATTCATTTCAAAAGTTCGCAGCATTTTCAAGGATTCGTGAGGTCGAAGTCTCAGGAATTGTGTTTTGGCACGGTTTAGGATTGTCCAGACCTAGCAGTCACGTTAATTCGCTGTGTAGATGTCCCAGGAACGGCGTTCTGGCACGATTTCGGATTGTCAGGACGCAGCGGTCACGTTGATCCACAGGTCTGCATTCCCAGGATGTGCGCCTTGGCACGAGAGAGGATTCTCAGACGGCTGTCGTCCAAGAGGCCACATTCAATGAACATGCTTTTCTTTAGGGACCTGTAAAGGGAGAATTTGGAGGGAGGGTGTATTGCAACATCGTTGGTGCGTCTTGGGTTTGCACAGGTCCTCCTTCTCATTCTCCTCCTCATCCTCCTCCTCGTCCTCCTCGTCCTCGTCCTCCTCCCCCCCTCCCTTCCCCCTTCCCTCCTCCTCCTCCTCCTCCTCCTCCTCCTCCTACTCCTCCTCCTCCTGTCTCCCGGCCCTTCTTCTTCAAAAGATCGGCAGGAAGGAGCGGGGCCCAGGAGGAGAGGGGCCTCGACACATCCCGGCAGAGGGGCGCGTTTCCGGCACGGAGATCGTTCGCGACGCGACACATCGCCCCGGGGAAGTCCCCGGGGGCTCGGGACCCTCGCTGGGCTCACTCGGGGGGAGGACCCTGGTCGGGCCGCCTTCCCCGGGGGCCCTCGTGCGTCGCCGCGGCCCGCCCTGGGCGCGCCTTGGTCTTGGCATCGCTCGGACGTGTGCCTTTTTCCTTCGGCGAGGACCATCGAGGAGCATCCTTGATCGTTTGGCGAAAAAAACACGCACGAAACCGAGAAAAGTACCGGGAATTGGACGTCCGAGCGATGGCCAGCATACGTGCCAGAGTGAGCCGCTCCGACGCGCCTTCCGTCAGGAGGGGAAGAAACACACAGACACAATTAATCGTCGATTCCCAGAAAATATGGGAAAATATGGGAAGTGGGGGGGAAGAGAAAAACACGAAACCGAAAGCACAGGGAATGGACGTCCGAGCGATGGCCGCTCCCCGCCGGGCACCCCCCGCCCGGCCCGCCCTCCTCCGCTCGGGGCCGCAGGCCCCCCAGGAGCGCCGAGAGGGACGTGCGCGTACGCGAACCCGCTCCGGTGTCCTCCTCCTCCTCCTCCTCCTCCTCCTCCTCCTCCTCCTCCTCCTTCTCCTCCTCCTCCTCCTTCTCCCTCTCTTCGAGCCTCCTCGATCCTCCTCCTCCTCCTCCTCCTCCTCCTCCTCCTCCTCCTCCTCCTCCGCTCGGTCTCGCGGGCTTGGGGGGCCGTGTTCATAAGCACGCGGTTCGGCGCGTGCGTCCTTTTGTGGGCTCCGTGTGTCCAGAACGGTGACCGACGCCTTCCCCGCCTCGACGCTGAGGAGGAGCAGGAGGAGGAGGAGGAGGAGGGAGGAGGGTGTATGCCCCTGTTGCCGCCTCCAGCTCTGGACGCCAACGGGTGGGGCGCTGATGCAGAGCGCTCGGCTTCTGGAGGCCGAGACGAAGGAACATCCGCTGAGACCAGGAATCTGGACGCCCGAAATGGGTACGGAAAGAATTGGTATAATGCCCAACAGCAGTGCCTGCTCATTTTGAACAGGATTCGCTGTCCACGCCCCCGCGGCCTGTGTCCATTCGAGACAGAAGGCCGCCTGCCCAACAGCGGCCGCTGTTGCTTTGGGACAACATCTGTTGTTGGGCATTGTTCCCATTTTGTCCGTACCCATTTCGGGCGTCCAAAAGGAAGCGCCACGCCTTCGGATATGAGCGGCGGAGGGCCGAGGCGGATCCAGCCGTGGCGACGAGAAACCTCCGGGAGGCTCTAGAGAGGATGGGAAACGCCAGGGAGGCCCGCCCGGCGCGCTGGCGCTCGTGTTCCTCTTCGCTGTCTTGCCGATCGGCGCGGGCCCTCGCACCCCCTTCCCCCCCCACGGAGCACGTCTTGGCCGTTCTTGGCGCCCGTTTCGGGCAGGTGGAGCCTCCCCCATAGAACGCATTGCTGCAAACAGTCGCACATAAGCAGAGGTCGGGGCCCCCCGGGAGCCCCGACCCTTTCCCCCCGGAGCCGGCCTCATACCACGAGTCGTTTTCTGGAGGCATCTTAGATCTTAGATGGGGTCCGAGTAGGTGGGGTCGGAGGATCGCGCTGCATCGCCGATGCAGCGCCGATGCATCGGCGATGCATCGGCGATGTATCGGCAATGTCGGCGGTGCATCGTCGACGCCAGCGCGAAGAAAGTCGGCCTCCACATCGAGCCGCTTCGGCGATGCATCGGGCGAGCCTCCTGCCCCATCTGCTCGGACCCATCCACGAGGCGTACAGTCGGGGCCCTGAAGAAGGAACCCCTTTCGTTGGGGAGGGGCTCCGCGTTCCTTACGTGTTTCGCAGCTTGCCTCATATGCTCCTTGTGTTTTCGATCGGAAATCGAAGTTCAACTTCTGGAAAAAAGGGGCCTCGTTCCTAATTAGGTGTTCCTTGTGTTTTCGATGTTCTCCTTATGTTTTCGATCGGAAATCGAAGTTTAACTTGTGGAAAAAAAGGGGCCTCGTTCCTAATTTAGGGTTCCTTGTGTTTTCGATGTTTTCCTTGTGTTCTCGATCGGAAGTCGAAGTTTAACTTGTGGAAAAAAGGGGCCCCGTTCCTAATTTAGGGTTCCTTGTGTTTTCGATGTTTTCCTTATGTTTTCGATCGGACATCGAAGTTTAACTTGTGGAAGAAAGGGGCCTCGTTCCTAATTGAGGGTTCCTCTTAGGCCAACGCCCCGACTGTAGAGTTCCTCGGACGGCCCTGGGGCCGAAGGCGAGGTCCCCCGGGCTGGCCGGGCCCGGCCGGAGGCTGGCCGCCGTGCCTGCTTCGCGACGCGAGCGCGTGTCTGACGGTCGGGGGCGGCGGAGAGGGGGGTGATGACTAGGGGGGGGGTTACCAAAACGACGCGAAGATCGAGACAAAATCGGATCGGGATAACTCGAAGTCTCTGAGAATCGGCGGGTCTGGAGGATGTATTGGGCGCCGCGGCCGCTCCAGAGCGTTCCCGAACGCTCTGAGAGCGCTCCGGAACGCTCTGGAGCGATTTATCCCGATCCTAGCCCTGTTTTAGATACCATGGCGAGGGCCACGATGTTGCCCCAGATGTTATGGCGCCTCTTCTTGCTTCATTACGTCCCTGGCCCCCCCCCCCCCTTGGGCCGCGCACGTGCCGCCGGCCATGATTTGCCCCCCCCCCTTGGGCCGCGCACGTGCCGCCGGCCATGATTTGCACCCCCCCTCTTGGACGCTCCCCTCTTGGCCGCTCCCGAGAAGGGGCAGGCCTGCCCTCAGTCGGAAACTGGAACATCTACATTACCAGTGGCGGGCTGCGTTTCAAACCCAGGAATTTTCTGAGGGTCGGGGACAACGTCGGGATGGTGTGGTGTATACTTTTTTTTCCCCGTCTTCCCGGGGGGCACAACGAAAAATGTATACACCAGGATCCCGTGTACAGCAGGATCCGCTTTTCTGTGCAAGTGTCAGCGAAGGGCCGGAAAACGCGTCGGTGTGTAGAGTTTGCTTCCCTACGCAAGCCGGGGCGTCGCACTTCTTCACCTCACAAGCGGCGTCTTCGCTCGGATTCGGGCTCCAGGACCCTCACGCATCGATCCTGCTCGACTCAGGAGGGGAAAAAACACACAGACACAATTAATCGTCGACTCCCAGGAAAATATGGGAAAATATGGGAAGTGGGGGGGAGATAAAAAACCAGAAAATATGGGGAAATAGTGGGAATCTTTTATTTGTGTGTATCTATTTGTGTGTTTGTGGGCCCCTTTATCGACGCTCGACGCAGAAGGAGAACATCCGAGGCTCAAGAGGGCGACGTAAAACAGCGGGGTCCACAGTGGCGCGTAAGCTGACCGCGTCAGGTCGCGCGTGAGGCTCCTCGTCTCCCCTGTAGCGTGCCGCGCGGGCGGCCCGCGCAAGCCGCGGCGTAAGGTCGCTGCGTCCTTTGCGCAAGACCTGTTCTGTTCGATGCTCGTTTGGGGGACCTTCCTGGGGCCCACCTAATGGATCTGTTCGACTCAGGTTCGACTCAGGTTCGACTCAGGTTCGACTCAGGATCGACTCAGGTTCGACTCAGGTTCGACTCAGGTTCGACTCAGGTTCGACGCACGAGTGGAGCGAGTGGCTCCAGGAAGGTCCCCAGAATGAGCATCTAAGTTTTGGATGTCGTCAACACCGCTTCGCTCTCCTTCCGGGACTTCGCCTCCGGCTCCTGTCCAAGGCGCACCTTTTCCTGTGCGAGCTCTGCGGCACCGCCTGCACCCCACGCCCTCCGGCCGCCGGAGGCCCCGCCCGCCCGCGCCCTGTCTCCCCAATTCGTGCTCTGCGCGCCCCGCCCAGCTCTCAACCGGAAGAGGCTCGCTCTCGACCCGCAGACCCCGAAGCAAAAGTTTTGGATATCGCCGTTCAGGCCATGATTCTCAACGATCATCGAGGACCAAAGGACCCCAAAGGACCCCGAGCCTCACTGGGGTCCTCGTCTTTGCATCAGAGATCATCCGTCTGGGCGGTGTCTGTTCAACATCTGCAGTACCCCCTTTATCCCTACTGTTCTGGGCCGTCCTAACTCAGGTCCCCTCCCAAAGGGTCAGGGGGTCTGTTGCTGCTCATCAAGCGATGTGGTGACTTTGGGGGGCGCTGTGCTGCCCGTTTTTTCTGTAGGGGCATCTGTGTCCGTGCGTCCGCCACTGACGATCACAAGGGTCCTCCCGAATGGCTCTCCTCGAAGCCTTCCTGAGAGGCCTCGAGGAAAACAGTCGGGGCGCTGCAGAAGGAACCCTTTTCCTTGGGGAGGGGCTCCGTGTTCTTTAACTGTTTCGCAGTTTGCCTTAGGTTTTCCGTAGGTTTCCGATATGAAGTCGAAGTTGAATTTCTGGAAATAGGGGCTTCATTCCTTATTTCGGATTCCTTAGGTCAACGCCCCGACTGTAAGAGGTTTCGAAGAATAATCTGTGGTCTCTGAGATCCATGGGTTCAGGACGATGCATCGGGAACCTGGGGCAGCCCCGCGCATGCCCGCGCGCACCATTTGGGTGACCCACGAAGGGGGCCCAGCTGCAAGGGGGTGGTCCAATAGCCTTGGGGCAATTGTATTGCAAACGTATCACGGCGGAGAATTCTGTTGCACCATATTGTACCGAAAGTATTGCACGCGAGAATCCAGCAATACATTTGCGCCCCAGAATGTATTTATTGCACGCCCCAGGCGTGTTGCGACCCCACAGATCTGCTGCACCAGATCTATTGCACCACCCCCTTGTCGCTGGACCCCCTCTTGGGCCTCGGGGGTGGACAGAACCCCCAACAGTGACACGTCGATTCGTGAATTGTCCGTCTTTGGTTCTCGAGAGGGCGCCGTGGCCGTTATGTTCCAGGCCTGCGCCCGCCAGGTTTGGGCCTCGGGTCGTTTTCGCTAAACCACGTTTTACGAAAAGGGGGGTCCGTCCATCCCCGAGAGTACCCATTTCTTCGCACCCACTTTAGTATAAAACGTAGCTTATAACCCACGTTTTACGAAAGGGGGGTCTGTCCATCCCCCGCACTGCGCCCCCCGCCGCCGGCTCCCGGCAGTCTGCGCTGCCCGTGCAGGCCACGCCCGCGTCTGCCGCCTGCTGCTGTCGCGCGCGGGCGCCGCCGGCGGGGCCGACCCCGACGCGGCGGACGCGCGCGGCCGCGGGCCGCTGCACCTGGCCGCCGCCGCCGGGGCCGCAGGCGGGCGGCCCGTTCCGACTAATAGCCCTGTCGTCGGGGTCGGCAAGCCTTGCCCTGGGAGGAGGAGGAGGAGGAGGAGGAGGAGGAGGAGGAGGAGGAGGAGGAGGAGGAGGAGGAGGAGGAGGAGGAGGAGGAGGAGGAGGAGGAGGAGGGAGGAAGGAGGAGGAGGGAGGAGGAGGAGGAGGGGGAGGAGGAGGAGGAAGAGGAGGAGGAGGAGGAAGAGGACGAGGAGGAGTAGGAGGGCCAGTGAAAACCCAAGAGTCATCAACGATGTTGGAGTATAACCGCTAACCCGTGAGAATAAACACTAGGGGATAATAAAGTTCGGGGTTCAGGGGGAGATAATCAAAGTAGCCCAACAGACCTCAGCATAATCTCGAAGTAAGAGATGATCAAGAGGAGACCAAGCCGAGCACGTTTTGAGACATCCTTGGCGTTTAGTCTTCATAGAAATATCCTCAACAATGGCTTATCTCGCTGGAGACATCCTCGACAAATCCCTTGTTTCGCTTGAGACATCCACAAACTATTGCTTATTTCGCTTGAGACACCGTCAAACTATTGCTTATTTCGCTTAAGAAAGGCGGAGAAATGGAGAAAGCGATATACAAAAACAAAAATAAAAAGAAACACTAAGAAATGAACAAGAAAAAAAAACAAATCAAACAGAAAAGAAAATAGAGGAGGAGGAGGAGAACGAGAAGGACAAATCTCAAGTTCAAATGTACTAGATTTTATTTACAAGCGCTTTATGAAAATTAAAATGTTTAAGTGCTCGTGTAGGGTAGCTCATGTGCTTCATTTTCCATGGATAATCAACCCCAGGGATAAAAAAGTTCAGAGGGGGGGGCATGGAGAGAGAGAGAGAGAGAGAGAAAGAGAGAGAGAGAGAGAGAGAAAGAGAGATACATCATAAAGAAAAAGAAAGGAAGGACTTAAAGAGAGAATATATATTTAAAAAGAAAAGTAGAATAAGAAATGAAACTGATAAAGAGAAGAGGAAAGGAGGATAAGACAAAAAATCTGAAGATTCAAGTGTATTAAATTTTTATTTACATGCGCTTTATGAAAATTGAATTGTTTAAGTGCTCGTGTAGGGTAGCTCACGTGCCTCGTTTTCCCTGGAGAATCAACCCCAGCGATAAACAAGTTCAGGGCGCCAGGGGGAGGAGGAGGAGAAAGAGATAGAGAGACAGAGAGAGAGAGAGAGACAGAGAGGCCAGGAAGGAGAAAGAGATAGAGAGACAGAGAGAGAGAGAGAAAGAGAGACAGATAAAGAAAGAAAGAGAGACAGAAAGAACTACAAAGAGACAGAAACACATTGGTTTCGCTTGAGACATCCTGAAACAACGTGTTCGCTTCGCTTGATGTTGTTATCTCAACATAAGAAGGAAGTAACTTCGATGGCGAACTTTTCCCGTGATAATGAAGTTCGGCCTCCGCGCCCCCCCGCCCCCGACCAAACTCTTATTGGTCGGCGATAGTCAACTCTAAAGACTGAAGGGGGGGGGGATACATTATTATCCTCGGCATGCGGTTATAATAAACCGTCCCTCCAAGCTCTCTCCTCAGTGGCCCCTGCAACGGTTCATTCCCATTGATGGAACTGCCTCGTTGGAAGACGCCCGATTGAAGACCCTGACGCATGCCAAAACATTTGTCTCGGGATTCCAACGCCACGGATCAACCTGACTGTTGCGTCTTGGCGATCCTGAATCTTGCCAGAACGCTGTTCCTAGGAGTTCAACACAGAGCACCAACGCCACTGTTGCACCCGCATAATGTTGAATCCGTTTCAAAAAACATGTATGATACGTCGATGATGGGAGTCCGTGAAATCTTGCAACTTGTCTAAAACCAATGTGCGCGGCGCTAAGGCGAGAGCCACATTCTGAAAAGGAAAAGCCGTCAATCCGCGAAGCTCTTGCTAATCCCCCCCCAGAAAAAATTGCGCCGCGCTACAGCGAAAACCACATGTTGAAAACCACTCGCCCCCAACCCGTGGAACTCTTGCACATCACTAAAACGAGTATGCGCGGCGCTAAAGCGAGAACCACATGTTGAAAACCACCCGCTGTCAATCCGTGAACCTCCTGCAATGTTTGAAGTATTGTGCGTCGCGCTTCGGCGGGGGCAAAATTTTGAAAACCACCCGCCCTCAATCCGTGAAGCCCCCGCAATGTTTGATACGAATGTGCGCCGCGCTACGGCGAGAGCCACATTTTGAAAACGACCCGCCCTCCATCTCCGAAGCTGCTGCCACTTTTTAAGCTTGAGCGTCATAAGTGGTGAGGAAGTCTCAGGCGAAATGCCCGGCCCGCCCTAAAAGCTGGCCCCGGAGTGCGACAGGGAGAAGTCGCTTATAAAGAAAGAGCTGGAGGGGGAAGTGGAGAAGGGCCAGTATGAACCCAAGAGTCATCAACGATGTTGGAGTAAACCCTCACTCCAAGCTTACTCTTTATAGGCCCCTACAACGGTTCATTTCCATTGATGGAACTACCTCGTTGGAAGACACTCGTTCGAATATCCTGAAACATGCCAAAACATTGTTCTCAGGATTCCAACGCCACGGATCAAGTTGACTGCGTTTTGACGATCCTGAATCGTGCCAGATCGCCATTCCCAGGAGTTCAACACAGAGAACCAACGTGATTGTTGCGCCCGCGTAACCTTGAATCTTTCCAACGCAACACTTCTGATACGTTGATGATGAGAGTCCGTGAAATCTTGCAACTTTCTAAAACCAAGGTGTGCGGTGCTAAGGCGAGAGCCGCATTCTGAAAAGGAACCGCCCTCAATCCGTGAAACTCTTGCAATGTTTTAAGCGAATGTGCGCCGCGCTACAGCGAGAGCCACATTTTGAACACCACCCGCCCTCAATCCGTGAATATCTTGTTTTTTTGTATAACGAATGTGCACCGCGCTACAAGCGAGAACAACATTTTGAAAATTACCCGCCCTCAATACGTGAAACGCTTGCAACTCATTAAAACGAGTGTGCGCCGCCCTAAAAGCGAGAACCACATTTTGAAAACCACCCGCCTTCAATCGGTGAACATGCTGACACGTTTTAAGCTTCAGAGTCATACATGGTGAGGAAGTCTCAGGCGAAACGCGCGGCCCGCCCTGAAAGCTGGCCTCGGGGTGCGATCGTGAGAAGTTATTCATAAGGGAAAGGAATGGAGAAGGAAGAGGAGGAGGAAGAGGAGGAGGAGGAGGGGGAGGGGGAGGAGGAGGAAGAGGAGGGGGAAGGAGAAGAAGAAGAAGAGCGGCCTCGGGGGGCGGAGTCTGGCGCGTGCCTCTTGCTCTAGCCCCCGCCGTCGCCCGCACAGTGCGGGCACCTTCACTCAGCTCACGGCGTCGCGCACGCCGAGCTTGAAACCGACCATGGCGTAGACCGTCGGCCTCCATACAAATTCACTGTCCTGAAAACCAGGCAGCCAGCTCACCATCCCTGACTCCCGCTGGTGCCTTGCCCTCCTTGGCCACCGCTCCTATCTGAAGTAGTGCGCGGTGGATGGTATCCTGGAAGCTGATCCACTGCAACTGCTCCTCCGTCGGTTCCTCCTGGTACTCCGCGTCCGGCCATGGGCCCTGCACGATGAACAGCGTGAGCTACTCTTGGCCGTAGGCGAAGATCTTGCTGAGCATGATGTGCTTGACTTTGCATAGTACCGTCGCTGCGTTGATCCTGTCCAGGAAGAGACTGGCAGTGTAGTAGACTGTACACGCTGCGCATGAGTGGACAAGACATGTGCAGTATACGCAATCCTTGAACTGAGGGCTTGGCATTCATCTTGTCGAGCGTGAGGCTTAGGCTGTGATGAGCATCCATTGGAGCTAAGCCGACCCAGTAGACATGACGAAGTAGCCCATCGAGACATAGGACTGTCCGCGGCGCCTCCTTCAGCTCCTCGTAGTAACCGAGGCCTTGGGTCTGCGGCTTCCTCTTTGTGGTAACTGTAGGCCGCAGTATGTGCAGCACGTCGGTGTGGCATGAAGCGTACTGTTGATCCACTTGAGCGTCTCCTTGACCGTTTTGACCCACTGGATAAACTTAACCGCGAGCCCCGAACGAGGCGAGTAGGCCACAAAGAAGGCGAGGTCGAACTCGTCCCTCTGGAAGCGCAGAGCACCAGCGCGTCCTTGTATCTGCTTGGACGGGGTCTTGATATCGACGGCGGCTCGCGGACCGAACCGCTGGTAGCTTACCATGATCACCCTTCCAGCATGACTATTGGTGAGCGGTCCGCGGCCATAGCCCCACGTGTAGACCTCGTGCTTGAGATTCTTGAGCTGGTCGACCTCTGAGCTGGCGTCGTGCATTCGCCAACGCGTAGCTGGGGGCAGCTTCACGTCCACGGCGCTGTAGGTGTGGCTGATCACGAGGCAGCGAGACAGCGCCAACAGCGAGATAGGAATAGATACTCCCCCTCGGAGGAACGGCATAACGATCCAGATCGTCATGAAGAATATGGAGGCCAGCCAGGCTGGCATGTCATGGAAGGCGCCCTCTGCGGGCGGAACTGCTCTGCGCGGGGTGCCAGCTGGGCCGCTGAAGAGATGGCTTGAGCAGAAGCGGCGGCTGAAGAGGAGGAGGAGGAGGAGGAGGAGGAGGAGGAGTGGGAGGAGGAGGGGGAGGAAAAGGAGAAGGAGGAGGAGAAGGAAGAGGAGGAGGAGGAGGAGGAGGCTGAAAAGGTGGTGGAGGAGGAGGAGGAGGAGGAGGAGGAGGAGGAGGAGGAGGGGGAGTCTCTGCTCTGTCCTCCCCGTACGCTGGCAGACCCGTTCCCAGACCCCCTCGCGTTGGAAAAAATTCATGACGGCGTAGGTTTTTTATATTTTCGGCCTCTAGGGGCCCTTACCGGGCCCCGGGACTGTCAGAAAATGACTCACGAGGAGAAGCCAGTATGGGGAAGGGGTCCAGGCCTCTGGGGGTCGACGTTGTGGAACAATCACGACGTCGGGGGTCTGGGGACGGAGGAAAAGAGGTCAGACCGACAGCCAGAGTTTGCAGGATCCTGCAGAGCCAAGGTTTCACTGACCCGGGCTCGGGTGCAGGACCCTGCAGGATATTGCAGGATCCTGCAAGGCCTGACTGACCTGGTTTGAATTGGCCCAGGTCAGTAGATCCCGGAATTCCGATGGGTTCTTCGACGCGGATCCAGCCGTGGCGACGAGAAGCCTCCAAGAGGCCAAAAAAGGCGGAAGAGCGCCAGGGAGGCCCGCCGTTGTGTCGACTGGCCCTTCTTCGGTTCCCTCTGGGCGTTGCCGTCGCTCCGCCACCCGGGCCTCCTCGTCGCCGCCGCTTCCCCCCCTGTGCGGCCAGGCTGTGTGGCCGCCCTGATGGAGTACGGCGCCGACCCCTGCATCGCGGCTGGCGACGACGGCCCTCGTGCGGGGGCGGGCATCGCGATTGTCATGGCGTGAGAAGTCTAGTGCCCGACTGGCTGCATCTGTGGACGACGGCGATGACGTGGTCCTGATGAGGCGAGGTGGGCAAAAACATCCCGACACCCATAACTGGCGTTTCCTGAACAGTCCTGGGCGTGGAGGTGTAGGTGGACAAGGATGAAGAAGTATCAGGCGGAGTGGGGAGAAGGAGGAAAAGGAAAAGGAGGAGGAGGGACGACAAGAAGGGATAAGGAGGAGCAGGAGGAGGCGGAGGAGGGATGAGCAGGAGGCAGGAACAGGAGGAGCAGGAGGAACAGGATTTGGCCTTGAACTGCTCGTTCAGGCAGAGCGGGAAACCCAGAACGGCGGGCCCTCCTGAGCCGTATGTATGCTTTGTTTCTTGTCTGGCGCCAGTTGCATCGGCACCCTTGTTCCGCTGAGCACAGCGCAGCGCCGTGCAGCGCAGCATCAGGCGACGCCGATGCCGACGAGAACGACGCCGCTGACGCTGAGCTTAGTAAGGAGGAGGAGGAGGAGGAGGAGGAGGAGGAGGAGGACGACGAGGAGGAGGAGGAGGAGGAGGGGGAGGAGGAGGAGAGAAGGAGGAGAAGGAGGAGGAGGGGGACGAGGAGGAGGAGGAGGAGGAGGAGGAGGAGGAGGAGGAGGAGGAGGAGGAGGAGGAGGAGGAGGAGGAGGAGGAGGAGGGGGGACGACGAGGCGGAGGAGGAGGAGGAGGAGGAGGAAAATGAGGCGGAGGTTGAGGCGGACGTGGAGGAGAAGGAGGAGGAGGTGGAGGAAGAAGAGGAGGAGGGGAAGGGGGATGTGAGGATGACGACAGCGCTGGCGCCGCTGCCGACGCCGGTGCCGGCGCCGTCGACGACGGTGGGCGGGCGGAGGCCGCACGCCGCTGGAGCTGGCGCGGGGCGCGGGCAGCGCGGCGTGCGTGCGGGCGCTGGAGGACGCTGTGGTGCTGTGGCAGGCCGCGGGTCGCCCTCCGCGGCCTCCGCGGCCTGCCCGCCGCCCGCCGCCGCGGCCGCTCGCCCCCTCACCCCCGCCGCCGCCGCCGTGGCCGTCGCCGCCGCAGCTCGCCGCCGCGGCCGCTCACCGCCGCGGCCGCGCACCGCCGACGCCGCCGCCGCCCTCCTCCTCCTCCTCGTTAATTATGCTCCTCCTCCTGCTCCTCCTCCTCCTCCTCGTCCTCCGCAGCCTCTTCTTCCTCGGGGCCCCTCGGACCCCCTTGGCCTCCCAGCTCTCAGGCGGAAAAAATTGCAAACGACATCAGCCAGGACCCGACCCGATATTCAAAGTTAGCCTCGATGCGCAACAACAGTGACCGACTACTAGAGTTGTACACATTGGCTACAAGGTACAGGGAACGACGATGGCACATAATGCAAGAGGCTCCTACGGGACCCCCGAGGCCACCCAAGGGTACCCAAAGGCCCGACGACAATTAAGGTCTCGACTCCAGCTACACTAATACTGGGCACACACAGATGCAGTTTCAGAGACTCTGAGTCATGAGATTTTGACCCAGAAACAGCTATGGAAAGTAAGACGCAATAAACCGACCCCTTTTGACTGAAAGGGGTCGGTTTCTGCTCCTAGCCCTCCCGACACCAGCAAACGACGAAGGAGCCCAGCGGCCACTTGCCGTTACGAGGTGGTCGGGCTTCCCACCGAAGCGTTCCCCATTACCTACTTCCGACTCCTGCCCTCCACCCTCTTCGCGGCCGTACAGTTTTGCATCAAGCAGCAGTCCCGCCCCTCCACACCGTCCTTTTCATGCCACCACTCAGTGCAGAGGAGATGGCTGCTGACCCAGACCCGGCAGTCGCATACGTCGACGTGAGGTACTCTACTCCGATAGGACGCCTGGTGAGAGGGAATGCCAGGCTCCGCTCGACACTCCCAGCGCTGCAGGCCCAGATCGCGGCGCTGACGCAGGTGATCGCAGCACCGGTGAGGCAGCAGCAGCTTGTCGCCATCGACCTCCAGAGAGTTGGACAGTGCAGCGAGATGGAGAGAGAAGAGATGCTCGAGAAACAAGAAGTGTTTCGGAAGCTGCAGGCGCAGCACCGTATCATTGAGAATGCGGTGCAGGGTTTCCGATTCGCACTAAACGTGATTGCAGAGCAGGACGAGAGTCTAGTCTCCCCCTTTCCTGACGAAGTTGACTACATGACAGAGCTGGGCTTCAGCAGCTGAGAACCACTGAGTAGCCTCTTGCCTCTAGCTGTGTCTCGCGCAGAAGCAGCGCGGGGCAGCCCTCCTCCTCCACTTCGCCCCTCTTGGGATTCTTTCGTGTGCTCAGGGGACCTGCACGCAAAGGGCCTGCAGGGCCCCCCCCCCTAGCGCGAGAGGGAGGGCTGACCTCCTGCCACCGTTGCCCACGCGCATGGCGCAGGGATGCCGTTGGGGGCCCCTGCTTGCGGGTAGGCGACGGGAGGTGGGGGGATAGCCGTCCTGCCTGGTAGGGTCGCGGGCCTCACCCGCCGTGTCGCCACCCAGCTGCGCAGAAGCGAGCGGGCTGGGTCGCGATGGCAGGCCCTGAATCAGGGGCTGCTTCCATATAATTTCGGTGACGGCCGCCTGCAGCAAGTGCATGCAGGACATGGAGCTGTCCAACCGCCTTAGCCATAGCCTTAGCCTTAGCCTTAGCCTTAGCCTTAGCCTTAGCCTCCTCCTCCTCCTCCTCTTCCTCCTCCTCTCCCTCCTCCCTTCTACCGCCCCCCACCTCCCGCCTCCCTCCTCCCTTCCTCCCCTCCTCCTTCTCCTCCTCCCCCTCCTCGTCCTCCTCCTCAGTCCCTTCTCATTATGGATAACTCCTCCCCGTCGCACCACGAGACGCGTCCGTAGGGCGGGCCGGGCGGTTTTTGTTCAACATGTGGTTCTCGCCCAAGCGCCGCGCACATTCGTTTCAAAAGGTCTCAAGGGCGACGTTGGTTCAAACATTGCGGTTCTCGCTTTACCGCCGCGCGCACTCGTCTTACAGGTCGGCAAGATTTCATTGATAGAGGGCACTTATCCGTCAAACCGTGGTTGTCGCCACTGTGCCGAGCACGCTCGTTGTTGAAGCTTGACACAGCTTCACGGATGGATGGCGGTGTTTATTCAAGATGCGGTTCTCGCCATAGTTTTGCACACAGTCGTCTTAAAAGAGTACAAGAGTCTCGCGGATGGAGGATGGTTTTTGTTCAACATGTGGTTCTCGCCTTTCCGCCGCGTACATTCGTCGCAAACGCGTGCGGCAGTTAAACAGATTATTATTGTTGACGTCCCAAGAATAGTGTTTTGGCACGGAATCGCATTGTCAGAGCTCAACAGTCACGTCGATCTGTTGTGTTGAAGTTCCATGAGTGTTGTTCTGGCGTGATGCAGGATCGTCAGAACGCAACAGTAAAGCTGATCCGTGACGGTGTTCAGTAGTGGGCACATTATTGTAGTGACTTGTGAAAAGGGAACTTGCAGGGAGGGTGTATTGCATCCTCGATTATGCATCTTGGATTTGCAGTGGTCCTCCCCCTCCTGGTAGCTGGCAGCTGTTGGCTATAGTGTCTACCCGACGCAGCCATCCTCCCCCCGCATGGGCAGTTGCCCCTGGGGGGGTGATCCAATTGAGGTACGTGTAAGAAGAAGAAACGCTACAGGCAGACCCCCGGCCCCCAGAGGCGGGGTAGCTGGGTCCCCCTGCACCCTGGGGGGGGGGGAGAAGAAGAGGGGTAGGCCCCCGAAATCATCTTAGCCAGGAGAAGGGAGGAGCAGTTGAGCTGAAGGCTTGCAGCGGTCGGCGTGAGGCAAAGACGAGCGGCGGGGGCTGCCGGCGCCAGTTGCCGAGGGAAGGCACGTGGGCCGTGGCCGCCCTCGCAAAAGGCGGGATCGCGCGGGGGCTTCCCCCCTGCCGCAGGGGAGGCCCCCCCGGGTCTGGCTCCCGGTCCCACCAAGAATACGCCCTCACCCGCCGAGCCAGGATTTGGACGCCCGAAATGGGTACGGAGAGAATGGGCACAATGTCCAACAGCGGATCCTGTTCATTTTGAACAGGACTCGCTGTCCACGCCGCCGCGGCCTGTGTCCATGCGAGGCAGAAGGCCGCCTGCCCAACAGCGGCCGCGGTTGGTTTGGGACAACATCTGTTGTTGGGCATTGTGCCATTTTTTTCCGTACCCATTTCGGGCGTTCAAATAGGAGCAGGGGCCTCCCAATGGAGGGGCGGAAGGCCTGGAGGGGGGGGGGTCCTTGGGCCTGGGGCAGGCCCGGGCGCTCCTGGGGCCTTCCCCTGCTGAGGTATAGCCGAAGGGAGGTGCAGTCGGACGCTCCTCGTCCTCCCCCGCCGCCTCCTCCCCCTCCGCCTCACCTTCCTCCCCCTCCTCCCGTTCCTGCTCATGCCTCCTGCATCTCCTCCTCCTCCTCCTCCTCCTCCTCCTCCTCCTCCTCCTCCTCCTTCTCCTCCTTCTCCTCCTCCTCCTGCCGCGCTCGAGCGAGGGGGAGAAGGAAGAAGGGGGAGAAGGAGAGGGACGAGCAGGAGGAGGAGGAGGAGGAGGAGGAGGAGGAGGAGGAGGAGGACGAGGAGGACGAGGAGGGGAAAGAGGAGGAGAAGGAGGAGGAGGAGGAGGAGGCGCGGTAAGGCGGCCTCAGCGCGGGAGTTCAAGGTTGAGCGCCTTCCGGTGGCCCGGAGCCGGCCGACATCGAACGTTCGGGAAGTCGCTCGGAGCCGAACCGACCCGCGCGGTGGCACAGACCACCGCCGGCGACGTCAGACTGCGCGAGCCTGCCAGGGATCAGAGGAGGAAAAGGTACCTCTGCCCTCCCCTCGTTTTCCCCTGTTTGGGGCTTCCTGGGAAGCCCTCGCCGCCACCGCTGGACTCGCCTCGAAATTCTGGTCAGGACGCACCCCAGGAGAGGTCCTGGGAGTAGCGGTAATTCTCGGTACCTTGTGGTTTCCCCAGGGAGGCAGGGCGAGGAGGGAACGCAGACGGGGAGGGTGGGCCGCAGACGGCAGGCTGGGCCCACCCTTCCCAGGCAGTCGAGCACGAGGACGAGGCCGGAGCGCCACAGAAGGGTGGGGGAGGGGGGGCAGGGAGGGGCCCACGCCGATCGGCGAAGCGGTACATAAAAAGACAGCTACCTGGCACGGCGTATATGCAGGACGTCCAGGGACGTCCAGGGAGCAGGGGGCACACGAGAGCCGATTGGCCCCGCTCGGGGCCGCTTCACACATCGGGGGTTGCTGGACTGCGCCCCTGGCCCAAGGTGCCCGCCCAAAGCTTGTCGCTCCATTCTGGAGCCCCTGGGGGCCCTCTGGGCCTCGTGAGGTGTGATCGGGAGGCCGTGGGAGCCTCCTGGGAAACCCTTGGGGCACCTTGGGCCAGGAGCCTGGCATCGCTCGGACGTGTGCATTTTTCCTTCGGCGAGGACCATCGAGGAGCATCCTTGATCATTTGGCGAAAAAACCACGCACGAAACCAGCAAAAAACACAGGGAATGCACGTCCGAGCGATGGCCAGTAGGGCACCTTGGGCCAGGAGCACTTCAAGCAGCACCCGACAACGGGGGGGGGCCCGCAGTCGGCGCAGTCGAGGACGGTGGGGGCGCCGTCGGCAGGCTGCCACCCGCGTCGCCCCGCCCGGCAGGGCTGGGTGGACCATTGCGAGCACGAGCTGCTGGTGTTCCCGACCTGGAAGGCTTCCTCGATCGCCTCCTTCCGACGAAACCATCTATACACCACCAGCGTGCCAGGCCAGGGCCATTCTGGGCCCCAGGATGGTGTATAGACCCTCTTGGCCTCGGCCAGGAGGGCTTATACACCATCCTGGGGCCCAGGATGGCCCTGCCTTGGCACGATGGTGGTGTATAGATGCCTTCTGCGAACTCCTCCTTCTCGTCAACATGCTCCTGCCGCTCATCCTTTCTGGTTTCAATGCTGGGTGAACGGCGTGGCCCACGCACTGGGCGGCGGTGGTCCGTCGCTCTCGGAGTCCATGCTGTCTTGGCTCGGATGCCGAATAATGCCTGGTCGTTCAGGCACGCAACGCCGTCGCCAGCCACTCGCCGCGTTGTGGTCGCGGGGAAAGCTGCTCATCCCTTATCTTTCCTTTTCGCTCCACCTCCTCCACCCTGGTTTCTGGCTTTTGGTTTCAGGCGCGAGGCTACTCCGAAGCATGAGCAATCAGTTCAACATGCACCACATGACAGCGGGAGGCGGGAGACGTTTCGGAATCCAGCTAAGAGCACGTCACCACAGCCTGCACGGCTCGCTCAGTCCGCCCCCCTGCCACTGTCTTCGCTGCCGCACGACCCCAACTTTCGGGCGCAGCCAAGCTGGCATTCCGCATTGAACAAAGGGTCCTGGGGGCATTCAGAAGCCGCAGGCGCCCGGGGTGACCTCCCAAGTCCCACCTCCAGCTCCAGCTCTCTCGAGGCCGCCCCAGTCAAGAGGCTGCCTCCTGCGAGCCTATACAACTCCGACGGGTATTCTGTGAGAGCGGCCGTCCAAAATTCCCCACCCGGTCCTCGGCTTGGGGCTCTACAGTGCTTTCCGGGTGGTCTCGCCTGCCCCTCCACAACTTCCTCAGACCGCGATCCCGAAACAGGGCAGATGGAGCAAATGGATGTTGAGCAGAGTCGTCGGCTTCTCATACTCAACCAAACGGTTCTTCGTCACAGTGCGGCGGAGACGATCCGCTTGCGCGTTGTAGTCGCCGCGGGCGCACGGCATAGCAATTTACCGGCAGAAAGAGAAGAGAAAACGGGAAGGGGCGGCCGAAAAGAGTAGGTGGGGGTAGAACGCACTCACAACAGGAAAGTTTCAGAATGAGCGCGCTGGTGCGGCCAGCCTGAGCTGAGGAGACTTGGCAGGGGGCGCAGGACGGCGTCACGACCACACCCAGGGGCCGAAGCCAAGGCTGCAGGCACTGGGTGCATGATTTGCAAGGCGAACCGACGCACCAGGAAGGGCGACAGGAACAGGACCCACGGCAACAGGAGCACGATCATCCACAGGTTCACCACGGTCATCCACAGGTTCACCACGATCATCCACAGGTTCAGCACGATCATCCACTGGGAAAGGCACGGCGCCAGCATGCTGCGAGACGCAGTCCGGATGTCCGTGCCGCGGGCGCCCACGGTCGCGTCAATGCATGTGGCATGTGGGTTGCAGCAATTCGTTGGGCTTCCCTCCTCCTCCCTCCTCCTCCTCCTCCTCCTCCTCCTCCTCCTCCTCCTCCTCCAGGGTGCTGACTTGCAGGAGCGGCGCAGCAGGGGCGGGAGCGCCAATGGACCTCGCCAAGCCCAGCCCGGGCGTTGGGCGGCGGCGCGGGAAAGGTGGGCAAAGAGGAGGCGAGCTGCCAGGCCCGGCTGGTGCACGCGTAGCAGCCGGACGGAGCGGAGCACTCAGAGCGTGAATTACCTCCCCCGCTTTCGCTGCCAGGCAAAACCAAGTCATACCACGCGCCTCCTCGTCAAGCGGCCTGACCAGTACAGGCTGCAATTTGGCATCGTTTGGTATCTCTTGGAAGCGAGGGTGGTCAAAAGCGAGGTAGGTTTGTTTTCCCCCTAGTAGCAGCCGGACGGAGCGGAGCACGCCCGACCACAGGGTCAGCCAGGCGGGGGCTGCCCAGCTGCAGGGGCAGCGGGGCTGCGGATGGAGGCCCGCCCGGCCCGCGGCCCTTGGGGAGGCCGCGCGCAGCGCGGCGCGCCCGTGAACAATGATTGTTTCGTGGTCCCGGCAGCGCATGAGTCCTGAGGGGAGGCGCCCACCTTGGGGAGTCGACGCTCCAGCCATGTCAGAAACGAGGAGGGAGGGGGATGGCGTGCCACTTTGGGGGGCAACATGAGGGTCGGAACAAAAGGCGCCCACGTTGGGGGGCGGCCGCCCAGGTCAGAGCGAGAGAGGGCAACGCGAGGACGGCGTGCCACCCTGGGGGGGGGTAGCACGCGCGCCAGGAGCACCTGATCGGTGCACGGTCAGTTCGGAAGGCATGGGGCGTCCACCTTGATGGGCACACGCTCTGCGTGGCACCGTCGCGGTGCAAATCGTGCGACCCTGAACGGAACCTACCTTGGGGGGCAGGCGCCCAGGGAAGTCGGAGCCCGGTAGGCGTGCAACGTTAGATTGAGTCAGAGTCTGATCCCCGAACAAGATGGATGGTGAGCAGAGTCGTGAGTTGTTCTTAAGTGTTCGCACCTAAACATACATTGAGCAACGTGCACCGCACCTCCCAAGCGAGACGTATGATTTATGCTACCCCCTTGAGCAACAACGATGACGGCGCCTGCGGTCGCCACACAGGGGTGATGATGCTACAGTCGGGGAGTTGACCTAAGGAACGATAGATAAGGAACGCGGCCCCTTTTGCCCATACATGAAACTCCGATGTTCCATGAAAAAACCTCAGGAAAACCCATGGAGCACTGTAAAGCAACTGAGGAACACGGAGCCCCTCCCCAACAAAGAGCAACAAAAAGGCTTCCTTCTGCAGGGCCCCGACTGTAGATGATGGCAGGGGTGTCATGGGAGGCGCAAGGTAGCAATCATCTGCACATCGCGAGCAGCAGCACATTTCCAGGATCGAGATGTCCGCGTTTCTGACCCGAGAGGCCACTCAAACCCACAGGGAGGCATTTGGGCCTCGAGGGCCTGGGTCCGCGGCCTCCCTCGAGGACAGTGCCGCGTGCCGCGCCCCGCGTCTCACGCGGGGCACCCCCCCAACCCGCCCACGACGCTGAACGCCCGCACCGATTCCGGCCAATGTTGGACAGTCGACTCCGCACTGAGGTCCCCGAGGACGGGGGATGGCTCGGGCCGGACGAAAGGGGGGGATGGGGAAAGGGGGGGGGTACGGAGTTTGCTGCATGCAGCTGGTTTCGGCTTCACCGAGGGGCCCATTCCTCGATACGTAGCCGCCTCTGGCGCCGGGAGGCGCCGGGAAAATCAGCTACGCGAGCTGATTCTCAAACCCCCCCTTTGCTATCCCCCCCTTTCGCCCGACCCGATTGGCCACGTCAAGACTGAGGGCCCACACTGGTGTGTCAAGCCCCTCGCGAGGCTGAGCAAGCAATGATCCAAAGTTGCCCGTCTTCGCTTCCTCCTCGGCTTCGCCGTGAGCCTAACTCTGGGCGCCCGCATCGTGCCTGTTCCCCTGCAAGATCGGAAACTGGAACCTAAACACTGCCAGCGGCGGCCCATTCTTCAATCCCAGAACTCTTTGTCGGGGACGACGTCGGGGCGGTATGTATACTTGGTTGCCCCGCTTCCTGGGGAAAACAACAAGTCATGTATGCGCCAGGATCCCGTATACACCAGGATCCGCGTTCCTATGCAAGTGTCAGTGCAGGGCCGGAAATAGTGTCGGTGTGTAGAGTTTGTCCTTGTCGGCATTCCTGTCTTTTCTGGCGGCTCCTAACCACACTTGTGCGTGAGGGAGGGAGCTCCTCCTTCTCAGCTCCCGAAACCGAAGTTTTCCTCCATTCCTGGAGCCTGAATTTATCGCGATCCCAGGCCCTGGCATCCTTGCGGACAGCATTCGCCCAGCTCCGAAAAACCTCGGGCACCTCAAAGGCTTTATGGACCACCTCATCGACAGAACCCCCCATTTTCTGACTCTCCTTCTCCTGCTGGTGCGCCCTCATCCATTCAAGATCCTTCCTCAGGAGTTCGGTCCGCCACCCACGTGCGTCCCACCCGCGGTCCAGCAACATCAATAGCTGCCTGGGCACATGTTGAACAAGTCTAATTTAGTAACATTACGTAGCACCCCGCAATTTCGGATAAGAGTGAGGGGGCGGGCGCGGGCGACGCGGGCGTCGTCGAGCTGGCGGACCTCGTGGCCCCCACCTTACCTGTCGATGGCGCTCTCATCCTCCTCCTCCTCCTCCTCCTCCTCCTCCTCCTCCTCCTCTTCCTCGTCCTCGTCTTCATCGTCATCGTCATCCTCCTCCTCTACCTCGTCCTCCTCCTCCTCCTCCTCTTCTTCCTCGTCCTCCCTCTCCCCCCCTCGTCCTTCCATCATTATCCTCCCATCGTCGTCCTCCCCCTCATCGGCCTCCATCATCGTCCTCCCAGTGTCGCCCATCATCATCATCCTCCCCCTCCTCCCCCTCCTCGTCCTCCTCTCCCCCTCTCCTCCTCCTCGTCCTCCTGCTCCTCCTCCTCCTCCTTTCCTTTCTCCACGTTCTCCTTACATCCTCTCTTGTTCCGCGTCCTCCTCGTCCCCTGTTTACTCCTCCTGCCTCCCCCTCCTTCCCCAAGATCACTGCAACGCAATCCTTGTTTCCACTTTATGCTCCCCGACTTCTCTGATCAAGGCAACTCGCCAGGTCAAAGTTGCTGGACGGGTTGGTGTGGATGCGCGGGGCTTGAAGGGGCCCTTGCGGGCTCAGACGGCATGCACAAATCCGCCGCCGCGCTTGTGCGGCATTGGTTTGTTCAGTGAACGTGGTTTGGGTCGCGGGTGGGTCGCGGGCTCTCCACCTCCACCTGGAAGGAATGCAAAAGCAGCCCGCCGCAGGCGCCAACAAAAAAATGTTTGTACACTGAACGTGGTTTGGGTCGCGGGTGGGCCGCGGGTTCTCCACCGGGAGCAAATGCAAAAGATGCCCGCCGCAGACGCCGAAAAATGTGGTTTGTACCCTGAACGTGGTCGCGGGTGGGCCGCGGGCTCTCCACCTTAAACCAATGCAAAAGATGCCCGCCGCAGGCGCCGAGAAATGCGGTTTGTACCCTGAACATGGTTTGGGTCGCGGGTTGGTCGCGAGTTGGTCGCGGGGTGGGTCGCGGGCTCTCCACCTGGAAGGAATGTAAAAAAAACCCGCCGCAGGCGCCGAAAATGGTGGTTTGTACCTTGAACGTGGTTTGGGTCGAAGGTGGGTCGCGGGTGGGTCGCGGGGTGGGTCGCGGGTGGGTCGCGGGTGGGTCGCGGGTGGGTCGCGGGTGGGTCGCGGGTGGGTCGCGGGGTGGGCCGCGGGCGGGTCGCGGGGTGGGTCGCGGGGTGGGTCGCGGGGTGGGTCGCGGGGTGGGTCGCGGGGTGGGTCGCGGGGTGGGTCGCGGGGTGGGTCGCAGGGTGGGTCGCGGGTGGATCGCGGGTGGGTCGCGGGTGGGTCGCGGGGTGGGTCGCGGGTTGGGTCGCGGGTGGGTCGCGGGGCGGGTTGCGGGTGTGACGACGACAACAAACAACAACAACAACAACAACAACAACAACAACAACAACAACAACAACAACAACAATTACTAGCACGTGGGGACACTCCGTTCTCACCAGTGCCAGGGTTTTCATAGGAGGCGGGCAATACCCCCACTTTGTGGGGGGGCCGGTTCAAGCTCTACCAAATTTCCAAACGACTCTTCGCCACCACCCACACCCAGCTTCCCGCCCTATGACGTTCGGACACTTCACTTCGTGGCCTGCGGACGACCGTGGCTACTACACTGGCGCGTGGCTACTACACTGGCGGATTGTGGCCCCTGGCAGGCGCGCGAACGCCGTTGAAAGAGCTTGCGAAAGTAGCTCGCGCGAGCTCATGTAACATAAATGTTGAAAAACCATTGGTTTTTAAGGATTCGGACAGCGCGCGCGGGTAGAAATTTTGAAAATCCGTGCACGTGTTTTTCGAGGACCTACGGTGCGATTCGTGCGATTTTATGATACGCGGTGCTGAAATTCTTAAGAAACCCAATGGTGTTTGAAGATTTCGGCGTGCGCGCGCGAAGAAAAAACGAATGTGTCCCATATGGTATTATTTGACAGGGACGATGGCCCTGGCAGGCGCGCAACCGTTGTTGCAGAAGTTCGAAGCACGTGAAAAAGTTGCTCGCAAGAGCCCGTTTGACAGAAATGTAGAA